GAAGAGATGGCTACAAATGATTGTAAGGGAGTCTGTGGAGATACGGTATGCGTCCACAAGCAAACAACACTTTGTATCGGCATTGCGATAAACTTACCTAGTTCTAGGTGTCCTTAAAGTTATATTTTGTAATAAACCAGGCTTTGAAAGCTTGAAAACACATAAAAGAAAGCTAGACCTAAATTATGCTATGTAATGGGACGCAATTGCGGCATGTCGATTTTTCAATAGACGCATACGGGATCTCTACTCAGTTGGCTCTCACTGTAAGACAGAATTTTGGATTGTTGAATATGCGCAAAGGTTATGAGGTAAGTTAAATAGGACAACAAAAATAGCTAACGCAAGGAACAGGAGTCTCACACTTCTAAACTTATTAAACTAAGATCAAACATTTTTGACGCATCTTTTGGCTCGATTATTGGTGCAAGTTGCTCAAAACAATTACTTTCCCTGTTAGGACCCTAAATCATCTTACCTTGAGAAAGAATAGGCGCTCCAAGCAAACAGTGCTACAGTACTTGTCCCCAGCCGAAGACACATGTCGAAGTCTGTACCGAAGCCTTTGCCATTTTCAAATTAATTTCTGCGAGCCATGGAGCAGTCACCCGTCTAGCCCAGTTTGGGATAATTTGGATAGCGCCATGTATTCAAAATTCGACATTTGTTACTTTTATAAACAGTTCGTAAAGCTGTAGTTTTTACTCTAGCTCTCCTTAGGTCATTTTTGTCAAATTTGGTCCATGCGTTACACATTTATTATTAAAATACAAAAGCATAGAAAAGGTGTTTACAAAACTAAAAAAAAGTTTATAAATTGATGATTAAGTGACTTATTAGAAAAGATGTATACTGACTTTTTAATGACCAAAGTTCACTCACTTTGCAGATGTATGAATATGTCCTATTGATAATTATTATCACATACATGTACAAGTGCATCTACAGTATTAGCACTATTTATTAAAGACTCATGGTACTTTCAAATTCAGTAGTCTGACTGAGTCTGACCAGTAGTCTTCGACAAGATGTATTTTTACTGGATAAGGATATTATGAGCATTGAAATTTGGGAAGAAGATTTTCTACTATTTTCCTCTTTCAAACCACTACGAGATTGTTAGTGCTTTTATTGGCTAATCTCGTTAACTTGCTCTCTTGCTAATAGTTTTGCGACAATTTCACATTTCGCTTGTAAGGCTGAAGAATATTTAGTTGTTTAATTTCCAAGTTGCC